TGATTTCTGAAGAATATACTAACCATTTTGTCAAGAGTTCTTCTTCTAACTTATGTCGCTTCTCCAGGTCCACAAATAACAGAAAGGATTTTTAAAGAGCATCACTTTTGGGCTAAAGAAATCGAGGTTGGGGCTGGAACCCTCAGTGGAAGCTCTGGAAGGACACAGGAACTGATGACCAACCCAAACAGGCAAGGAACCCCTAGGCAGGAAGTGTCCTGTCGATGATGGGCTTTTCCCTCCTTTCTGTGATTCATCCATCAGCTCCAGGTGGCCTCTGTGACCTTTGTTGTTGTCAGGTGCCATCGAGTCGGAACTGACTCATAGTGACCCCATGCACAGTAGAACGAAACAATGTCCGATCCTGGGCCAATCCCACCACCGCTGCCACACTTGACGCCATCAATGATGCCACCTGGTTGATCCATCTCACTGGGGGTCTTCCTCTCTTTCTCTGACCCTCCTTCTGACCCAGCATGACATCCTTCTCCAATGACTGTTCCCTCCTGACCTTTAGGGGGTACTTATCCTACCTTTTGAAGGCCTGGTGTGGCGCTGTGGGTTAATGCATTGGACTGCAAAGTTCATTTGAACCACAAAGTCAGAAGTTCAAGCTCACCAGCCACTCCTCAGAAACCCTATACATGGTCGCTGTGGGTTAGAATCGACTCGACTCAGTGGCACTTAACAACACCCTACCTTTTATAATTTTCCCCACCAACATTTTAATACAAAGCCTACAACAAATACAGTTATGCAAGGCTAATATTATAAGCTTGAATACAAGTAACAAGGCTTATCCTGTGATCAGTAAACTCCTTTCAGGGAATAAAGTCTTCATTTGTGAAATGCAAGAAATAATCAGCAATCAATTAGGGTAAGTGGTACTTTGCTTTGGAAGTGAAAATAATTACTAAATATTAGATGTGTTGAAAAAAAAAGTGCTTCCCCTCTGAGGCCTTAATGCATTATGGACTTATTAAACCTTGTAACATACTGTTCAAACTGACGTTGTGGTCCAGTGCTTATCCTACAGTGCCATACCCCATTCCTTGGAAACTCTACAGGGGGCTGCTCTGAGTTAGAACCAACTCGATGGCACTGAACACCAACATAGTCTATTGTGACATCTCACAAGTGCACATATGATGCCTAATTTCCAAAATTCACCCAAAATCACTTAAGAAAGGAGAAATGGAAACATAATTAAATTCTTGACAATAAAGTTGTTGTGAAGTGCCGTGGAGTCGGTTCCGACCCATACCGACCCTCTATAGGGTTTCCAAGGAGCAGCTAGTGAGCTTGAACCACTGGCCTTGTGGTTCAAACTGACTTTGCAATCCAGCACATTAACTCACAGCGCCACATCAGTGTAGATGCATATAGATAAACCATTAGTGGATGCATATAAATAAACCATAATCCAGGTTCAATTCCGGTGACTTGATTTCATGTTGAATTTAAGTCATTTTAAACTGCTCTTACTTAAAATGTAAATTTAAAAAACAACACCTTTTTCTTGTGAATTGAGTGAAGGTCTACAAATAAGATCATCAGTTTTACATTCAACCAATCACACACTTTGTCTCATCTCAGTGATGCAATCCCCTCCTCCCTGTGCTTCCTGTTTCTATACCACCCACTCCCATCCCTTCTCAACTCTGTCCTTAGGAAAACTTTGATTCTGATTTGACTATCCCATGGTGAGCATACCTTGCTAGTGTTTTTGTTCCCCTTACATTCCCATCAACTGCTTGATTGAAAATTGGGCCAGGAGGGTGAGTTCTGTTCCAGACCTGAAGGGTGGTCAAGGGCCACAGTCTCAGGTTCTTCCAAGCTCTTTCTGATGAGTAAGCCTGGTCCTTTTTTAACAAAATAGAATTTTCTGAGTTTTTGTTCCACATTTTCTCTCACTCTATCTGAGACCTTCTATTGTAATCCCATTCAGAGAAGGTGGTCGTGGTAGGTGGGCACCATGTAGGTCTTCTGGTCTCAGAGTTGGAGAGACCAATTAACAAGTAATTTTAAAAATATTCTAGAATCTCAGATAAAAGGATTACATTTGTTCTGAGTCTAGGCACTTTCTAAACCACAAGTAGTAAAGGGTGATCTTGACTTCTCCGTCAACAACACAGACTCATGATACATTGCACTAATAAAAAAGTCCCAACAGTATCAGATAAATAGGCATTTACACTGAGAAACCGAAGCTAATCGAATCATTCTGTTCTTTGCTGCCCATTTTCTCTATGACTGGTAAAAGAGCTGTCCACAAATGGATGGTATCTCCGTTTTTTTGAAGAACAAGTAAAAAACTTAAATAAGATTTCATTTTTAAAAATAAAAATGTTTATTTGTAATAGTTATCATCGATAACTCTACTTTTACCCTGGGGAATGCACGAGTATAGATACTGTTAGCGTCTTTACCCCGCTGCAAACAGCACACCGTTTACACTGATGCTGAAGGTGAAGACGTCTCCTCTCACTATAGAAACCTTGGTTCGATAGAAAGTCTGTCTCTCCAGGCCTCAGCACAGTTGCCAGCCAGAATCTTTTTTTTTTCCCTTCTCAATTAGGCAAAAGAAAACAGGAACTCTTTGGTGGGGAATGAAGTAACATTAAAGTCTAAATATTACAAAAATAAAGAGAGGGGACAAAACGAAATGCTTCAACGTACGTGCCTGAGGTGAAAACCAGCATATAAGTTTCTGTCGTGCGAGACAGCTTCCAGACGAAACTGTCATCAGTGGTTAATCTTCAGGTTCATATCTAGAAAGGGAAATGAAGAGCATAATGGCTGAGAATGGGTTTTTGTTGTGGCACTAAATGAGTTCCTTCAAACATCTCCCCAGAATAAGCAGTACCATTGTATTTTTGGCTAAAATCACTGCTGTGGGTAGAATCCGCTAAGGTGCAGGCATTCTGCTGGTCACTCAAAAGGGATTACTCTAACTGTGAAGACACCCTGAGGCTCCTAGTCTCTATGCTAGACAATGAGATGCATGACAGCTGAACAGAGACTCATTTATAATCCAAAGCTTCAGGTCAGTACAACTAGCTGATACGGCTATGTGAATAAAAGCTGACAAACCTCCTGTAGGGAAAAGCTGGACCTTGGATTCATTCTCTATCTGTTTCTGGAGGACCCTGATCAATGTAAAATGTCGGCTGAAGTAGCAGGGAACACCTCTGGTGGCAAACCTGATCCAGACTGGTGGGCTGCTTCTGGACTGGGAGGACTAGAAGGAAAGGCCAGCTTTGGACACCCCTCTGTCCTTTTCTGGGTCCTTTGTGGAACATGGACTTGTAAGCCAAGCCAGCTGTGGTATGCTCTCACAGCAGAACTGTCACTGGGGCACAACAAGACCAGCTCTTGGACTGCTGCTGGGAGGGCACCCATAGAAGGGCACTGCCAAGTGAACCCACTCCTCCCAAGAGTAGCCGACTGTAGTCGAATGGGAGTCCGAAGGTCTAGCTGAACCAAAAAAGAAGTCCTGGGGGGGCATTAGAAACCAGGTCGGGTCAAAGCTCCTCTGTTTTCATCCAACACAGACTTTTAGACTAAACGATAGAGCACCTATCCACGGATCTAAGTCTGACAGGAGATCAGATTGAGTAGAGAAGAGAGAGCAGCGCAGTGGAGAGAGAAAGCTGCAGGCGGCTCAGCAGGCCTTACTTCACCAATCTTTTCCTTAGCTCCTTGATCTGGTCATTCTTCTTGGTGAGAATCTCTTTCATGTTGCGATAGGCAGCTGTTTGTTGGAATTTCTTTTCCAATTCCTGTTGAGAGGACAATGAAGCTGGTTACTAAAGAACAACTAAAGAAAGGAATAACTGAAGAAAAGAATAACCAAGCTAATGGAAAATCTTGTTCTAATGAAAATATCTTGTTCTAATGTCACTAAAAACTTGTCACTTTCTAACTTCTTCAAAATAATACACTTATGTAACACTTCTCTCCAAACTATAAAAATGTTTCAGATAAAAAGCAAATAGAAAAACTACGAATTCCCAAGTATAATATTAGCAAATAACCCAGCACTATGTCCTGTTGTTGTACTGTTGAGTGGGTTTTGACTCCTGGTGACTCTCTATAGGGTTTCGAAGGAGCGGCTGGTGGGTCTGAATCATCAACTTTGCAGTTAGCAGTCCAGTGCTTATCCTACAGTGCCACACCAGGACTCCACTATGACCTAGACATGGGAACATTACCTTAACTTGAAATAATTGAAACAGTAAACTAATTTTTGGATAAAATCAGCATGATCTTTTTCCCAATCCCAAAGTTCTGCCAATAATTTAGGAGTCAGATTTTTCAATTAATTGATATTATTAAGGTGCAAGAAGAGTCTCACCCCTAAGGTGAAGCCCTGTTGTTAAGTGTCACTGAGTCAGTACCAACCCATAGCGACCCTGTATAGGGAGGGTTTCCTAGGGTTCACTGGTGGGTTTGAACCATTGACCTTGGCAGTTAGCAGACAGTGCTGATCCTACAGCACCACACATATTATATATCAAGTATAATCATGAGATAGCAGGCCATCCACCCCTCTGCCTGGCTGTAGGTGAAGCAAGCAGGAAATCACCTGGGGGCTGGAGGGTGCAGGCTGATAGAGCATACCCCAGACGAGGAATATTTTATGGAACACCATAAGCAGTGGAGAGTTCTTATTATCAAAAATATTTCAGTGCCAAAAATGGAAGATGATAATGCTAGAAATTCATATGAATTTTACCCTATGTACACTTGTCCCTCCATACTGCATTCACCAGTTAACTGGACTTGAACAGGCAAGTCCCTTACACAGGATGTGCTGACCTTTTCAGCCAAGCTCAGCTGCTCCTGAACCCGGAGTAGGTCGTGCTTGGCTGTGGCTAGAGTCGCCTCCAGGGACTTCTGGTTTTCTGTCTTGTCATTGAGCGTCCTCTGAAACTCACTCTTTAAAGCGGCGACTGTGTTTTCCAAGTCAGTCAAGTCCTGGGCCTTTATAAAGTCCTGTGGGAGGTAAGCACACTAGCGTAATTTCATGTGGACACCTTCAATGGTAACAGCGTAAACACAGTCAGTAAGCATCACACGAAATGGAGACGTGAGGTGGCGTGTTGTGGCAGCAGGGGCCATGCCAGTTCAGCCTCAGCACCCCAAGCAAGGTGTCTCAACGAGGCAGACATGCCAGGGTCACCCAAGTCCAAATAGGATTTACGGATGGCTGAAAATTCCAGTCAGAGAGGAGTAAGGGAATGAGTGAGATTCTGAGCCTGACAAGGCGGGGTGTCCCAGAATTTGGATGTCAATCAGGCTGCATTTCCAAAGTCATAAGAACAACTCCTGGTGAGAAATTCTGAATGACGTAGATGGAAAAAAATAATACAGTATGAAGTGTATGAAAATGTTAAGAGTTATATGCATTAGCCATTATTTTTAGTAAGATATGAAAAGTAATGACAATGACTTGTTCTCTTAGTTTATATATTTATAGATTATATATTTTTAAACCTTTTTCTATATTAATGAGCTACGCACAGCTTTGCCTACTTGGCCAAATGCAGCATTAATACAAGCAGCTGGAACTTCTATTTGTGTTTTGTTTGCGACAGTTCATAACAGAAAAGAGACTTTTATTTAACAAGATAAGAAACATGGTGGGGTTTTTGCTAATTGTATATATGGAGCAGTATTACTAAGAAGAGGAAAAAGAATGAAACGTATTGCTGTTAACTCTTCAGTTGTCCCATGAAATCTTGCTCATTTTTGAAATCTAGTCTCGAAAAGTATTTTATATCATTGCAATGAGGAAAGGCCTATCTATGTACGTTTTGCTTTTGGGTCCAAAATCTTTGAGCAAACTGAAGCATGGCCCAAAATGGCTTTTAAATAAATTCGTCATCCAAAAATGTTTGCCATTAATTGAGTTTTGATCAATTATAAAACTGCTCTAACAGTTAGCTGCTTAATAAATCTATGGCTGTTGGTATATAATGGTTGACAGCCATATACACACAGCCCAAAAGAAATGATCTGCTGTCTGAGAGTTGCAAAAAAATAACACAGCAGGGGGGAGGGGAGAAGAACGTACAGGCAGAGTTGATAGCTGGTGGGCCATGTCTTGACAGTTGCTATAGCTAAATGATGGGCACAGCAGCTGTATCACACTATCAACTCTATTTTGTGCATATCTGCAGAAAAGCTGAACAAAAAACTACTAGATTTTGAGATGACTTAGCAGCCAAAAAAATGTTGGCTATTGAGTGTCGATTCCAACTCATGGTAACCCTGTGTGTGGCCGAGTAGAACATGGCAGCATCACGGCTGCCAAAGCCGCTGCTGCCGACAATTCACCCAAACGGTCGCAATCCGCTGACACCACGATACAGCACCTAGGTGCGTGCACACAATGGCCCCCAGCAGGCCTGGGAGAGATGCTCAGACACTCCTCAGACCACCTCGCAGCATGAGGACCCTGGCCTTCACACAGTGCCTCTCACGGCCAATAAGTTCATTTCATGTCAGTAACATTCAATAAAATAAACCCAATACAGCTCCAATGGACTAGAAACTTCTCCTGTTTCGACTTCCTCCCTTACTGTAATTGGAGAATCAAAGTGAAAGGGGGACAAAGTTACAAGGATTAACAAAAAAAAAAAGACTATCTTGCCAATGAAATCCCAGGACAAGTTAGGCAGGTGAGCTGTTTATCTGTCCTGGAGGAAGGCCTGCCTCTGGGGGTCAGAGGTCAGAAATGACAACGGCCAATCGTGGAGAGCAGTGGCGTCTGCCAGGGAAGCGGCAGGAGTGAGGAATAATCAACAGTAACAATGACTTAATTTTAAGTTGATGAATTTATTCTGTTTGGACAATAGGAAACAGATAGCTACAACTTTTGATTCACCTGTTGATTTCCTTGATCAAGCTGTAAATCTTGCAGAGCTCGCTCTAGTGCTGACTTCTCTTTCAGTGCATTTGTGGCCTGTAGTCGAGTTCAAGAAAAGCACATTCAGTATTTAATTGGTAGGTAGCACTTTCAGGAATCCTGTCACAGGATTTCTTATTTACCTGTAATTCAACTGTCTTCAGCCTTGATCTCAATTTCTCATTCTCTTCTTGAAGCCTTAAAATTTCCTATGTGAGTAAATTCATATGTTATTTTTATGATTTTCACCACAGAGTTCTGAACATTTGAAATGATTACATGTTTCATTTAAAAATCTGTTTTATAAATTACATATGTTGTTGTTAAGCGCCACGGAGTCAGTTCCGACTCACAGCGACCTTGTATAAGCTTTCCAAGGAGCGCCTGGTAATTTTCAACTACAGACCTTGGGAAATGGACCTAACAGTCGAGTGCTTATGTTACAGCACCACACAAATCCACATGCCAGGGCTACTGGCTAGCATCCCGATTAAGCCCACCCCATCAGCCTCAACACCTGTGAGTTAACTTTGGGTCTAAGATTTCTCGTTCCTTCTGTCAACATCTCTTAAACACACTTCTCCTCCTTCAGCCTTCTGCTCTCAGTGGTCTTCCCGTGTCTAACCCAGATGACCCCGTGACTCATGTCTGCCCTCTCCCAGCTCCGCACACTTCCATGTACCCTAGCAACCAACACCATTCTCATCATTCCAATACCACACTCAAGCCCCTAGAGAGTTCTGACTGAGCCATATCACAAAACACCTTTGCTCTTCAGCAGTTCTATCACCAGTGTCACCTGCAGGTCCAGCATGCTTACCTGCTACCTGCCGCCCCTTCTCTTCTTTCGGACAATTCAGTTGGGCTTTACCCTTCAAGGCCCTCAACTACTTTCAACTACACAGAACTATGTCCCTCCTCTGCTGGACTATGAACCCTGAGACACATAAATTAGGGTTTTCCTGCCTCTAACTCTTTTGGTATTATTATTTGTAATCCCCTATAAGTAAGTTGTTCTGAGGTCAAATCATATACCTTGTTTCATTACACTGATTATAATCCCCTCCATGTACCATCCGTTAACAGTATTTCTCTCTATTCACTTTAGCTTTTTAAAACACAAACAATAAAAAAAAAACCCCTCAGGCATATATAATTTACATCTCCACAATAAACTGGAGATGTAAATTGTTGCAGAGTTTTTTCTAACAATATTTAGTGCAATGTTACAGGCATTAGAGATATTTATTTGTATGTTTATAATTTTTAAAACCTCTTTTAAAAAGCCCCTTCATCATTATCACAGATCACAGTCAATATTGCCCCAAATTCCAGGCTCTTCACTTCACTCTGATGAGAGACAAGCAAGGGTTGCTTTAGTCTTGCTGAAAGATAAGGGTGCCCTCTTCTGGCCAGCCCCATACCACTAAGTAAAACTGCTGCAATGCAACAACTACCCTAAATGGACCAAGGACTGAACTGACCTCCATCCACCTGTGTCTGTACTCGAGAGCTGTGTGGAAAAGGAAAGGGCAAAGTGAGAGGACCTGCTGTTTTACCTTGTTCAGGAGTTCTGCTGTTACGCCTTCGTTCAATGGAGCAAGTTTTGGCTTTATGATATCTAAGATAGGCTGAAACAAGAGGAGGGAGTCCAGCTGAAACAACCACAGTATGAAGCATTTATAACATAGAACACCTGCACGTCATCACAGCAGACCCTGTGCAAACATACCTACCAGAGTGTCAGCTCTGATACTCAGACCTCTGCTTTGTCCAGTGCCTGACCCACAGTGTCCAATATGCTTTAGAGACAAAAATGAAACCAATCCTCTCCGTGTATTTTGGGGAAAATACACAAGGAAGGAATAAAAGGAAAGAGTTCAAAACTGGACTTAGAGAGAGACTCCAGCATATAGGGATGGGGATTTCAACTGGTGGGAGCTGGAACAGGTTTCTGCATGAATCACAAGCTTGGTGAAAAGTTTTAACATTGGTGATTTAGACAACCACATCAAAGGCAAAGAATAACTTGGCACAAATATTCTGGCAGTTTAGCAGTATGTTTGAAAAACAAAAGATTTCATGCCCTCTGAACCAGAAACTTTTTATCCAAAAAATGTCCCAAGGAATAACTGGAAAATTATTTTTTATGTGTGTGTAAAGTGGATTCATCTCAGCAATGCTTTAATATCCATGAACAGGAGTATTTATGGCACATCCACACACTGGACTGTTAATATTGCTAATGATGATGAGGATTAGAAAGTTAGGTAACTTTTATACTGTCTCCACTTGACAGGTGAGGAAGGCAAGGCACACAGCTAGGCAGTGACAGCCAGGATGTTTGGATGACCTTCATGACCCCACGCCTGCACTGCACGGTGTCAGAAAAGAGGTAATTGTGGCTGCAACTCAGGTTGGATTGTAGGGTCTGGGTTACTGCATTGTCTGAGACAAAACAGAATCTTTGACTGCTCTTTTCAAACCTTTTCTTCTTTTGCCTGAAAATCTGAGAGGTAATGCTTGATTTCTACTCTTTGGCTAATGCCTTTCTGTTACAAAAGGCTCACTCTGACCTCTGAATACTTCGAGGGACTTGAGGATTTTAAATACAGGATATTAATACGGGACTGAGAATGACCAAAACTTACCTTTTTGTTTGAAGATGTAAATTCTGCCTTTTCAAATTCTGCAACTTGTTCTAATAATTCTCTTGAAAATAAAAGCAAAAATGAAAAGTGGTATTTAAAATCTATTAGTATCATATACAATAACAGTAAATTCACTGGTACCTTAATATGCCAGAGAAAACAGAACAAAATGAACTAAACATGATACTTAGTTACAAATGACCAAGATTCCAAATCAAATGGACTCACTTAAATTCTGAACAATTTCACTTACTGGATGTTCAGAATATATTACTAGCATTAAACTACAATGCTAATACAAATACAAGCACGTTTTAGTCAGCACTATAAATCTGAGGTCCTAGGGGGAAACTGCTCTCACATAATATTGCTAGCTAGCAGGTGTTCAAAACTTCAATAGTTTTATGTTGTTAGGTGTCACAGACTCAGTACAGGCTCATAGTGATCCGATTGCAATGAAACATTACCTGGTCCTGCGATAACCTCACAATCGCTACTCCACTTGAGCCAATCCATCTAAATAGGGCGTCTTCCTCTTTTTTCCGACCCTCCACTTTTCTAAACATGATATCCTTCTCCAGGGACTGGTCTCTCCTGACAATATGTCCGAAGTATGACAAACAAACTCTGGCCATCCTGGCTTTCAAGGAGCATTCTGACTGTACTTCCAACACAGATTTGTTTGTTCTTTTGGCAGTCCACAGTACTTTTAATATTCTCCTCTAACACCGTAAGTCAAATGTGTCAACTCTCCTGTGGTCTTCCTTAATCTCTGTCCAACTTTCACATGTACATGAGGTTATTGAAAATATCATGGCTTGAGTCAGGCACACCTTAGTCTCCGTCTGACATCATTGCTCTTTAGCGCTTTAAAGAGGTCTTGTGCCACAGATTTGCAATACGTCCTTTGATTTCTTGACTGCTGCTTCCATGAATGTTGATGGGTTATTTGGCAAAATGAATTCTTTGACAACTTTAATCTTTTCTCCATTTATATGGATGTTGTTTATTGGTCCAATGGTGAGGATTTTTGTTTTCTTTATATTGAGGTGTAACCCATCCCTTCATCCACAAGTATTTTAACTCCTTTTTACTTTTAGCAAGCAAGGTTGTATATGTATAATTTGCATATTGCAGGTTGTTAATGAGTCTTCCTCCGATCCTGATGACACATTTTTCTTCATATAATCCAGCTTCTCAAATTATTTGTTCAGCACGGTGGTGGGGGTGGCGGTGGTGGGCCGTGGAGTCGATTCCATCTCATAGCTACCCTGCATACAGTTTCTGAGGCTATAAAACTTTACAGGAGTGAGGGAACAAATCTTCACAGCAAAGATCATTCCCACCCCCTCCATACACAGAGTAGACAGGGATGGGCAACTTGGACCCTTTGGTTGGATGATGATGCATGGAGGGGATTGTAACCATGTCAATGAAATGATACACGATAGGATGTATGTAAAACTAATGTTCTCCCATGTAAACTATCACATAATTCACAATAAAACATTAAAAAAAACAAAGACAAAAAACAAACCTTTATGGGAGTAAAAAGCTTCATCTTTCTCCTGCAGAAGGGCTGGTAGTTTCACACTGCTAACCTTGAGCTTAGCAGCCCAACTTGTAACCACTATGCACTACTAGTCATTCAGCATACAGACTGAGTAAATATAGTGAAAGAATACAACCCTGGAGCACACCTTTCCTAATTTTAAACCATTCGGTGTTCCCATGTTCTGTTCAAACAACTGCCTCTTGGTCTATGTACAGGTTCTTCATCAGAACAATTAAATGTTCTGGAATACTCATTCTCCACAGTGTTGTCCATTGTCATGATCCACACAACCAAAAGCCTTTGCGTAGTCATTGAAGCACAGGTAAACATCTTCCTGGCTTCAGCCAAGATCCATTTGATGTCAGCAATGATATCCCTCATTCCACATCCTTGTCTGAGCCTCTGGCAGTTCTTTGTCAATGAACATTTGTAGCCATTTTTGAATTATCTTTAGCAAAATTTTATATGCATGAGATATTCATGCTATTATCTGATGATTTGTGCATTCCATTGAGTTACCTTTCTTTGGAATATGCACAGATATGGATCTCTTCCAGTTACTTGGCTAGGTACCTGTCTTCCGTATTTCTTGGCATAGATCAGTGTTTCATCCAGTTTGTTGAAATAGTTCAACTTTTATTCTACCAATTCTTGGAGCCTTGTTTCTTGCCAATGCCTTCAATGCTCCATGAACTTCTTCCTTCAGGATCATTGGCTCATATGCTACCTCTTGAAATGGTTTAAACAATGTCAATTTCTTTGTGGAACACTGACTCTGTGTATTCCTTCCATTTTATTTTGACTTTTTTTTGCATCATTTCAATATTTTGCCCATAGAATTCTTCAGTATTTCAAGTCTAGGCTTGAAATTTTTCTTCAGTTCCTTCAACTTGAGAAATGTTGAGTATGTTCTTCCCTTTCAGTTTTCTAACTTTAGGTCTTTGCACATTTCATTATAATACTTTGTCTTCTTGAGCTGCCCTTTGAAATTTTCTATTTAGCTCTGTTACCTCCTCATTTCTTTCATTTGCTTTAGCACCTCTACACTGAAGAACAAGTTTCAGAGTCTCTTCTGACATCCATTTTGGTCTTTTCCTTCTTTCTTGTCTTTTTAATAACCTTTTGCTTTCTTCCTGAATGACATTATTTATGTCATTTATAACTCTTCTGGTTTTGGGTCATTAGTGTATAATGTATCAAATCTGTTTTTGAGATGATCTCTATAATCAGATGGGATATGTTCAAGGCTGTATTTTGGCTCTCATGTACTTGTTTTAATTTTCTTCAGCTTCAGCCCGAACTTGATTATGAGCAATTGATGATCAGTCTCTCCCTGGCCTTGTCTTGACTGATGATATGGAGCTTTTCTACTGTCTCCTTCCACAGATGTAGTCAATTTGATTCCTGCGCATTCCATCTAGTGAAGTCTCTGTGTATAGCTGTCTTTAAAGTTGTTTTTAAAAAGTGTTTACAAGAACAAGAGTAAGGTTGGAGGCCTGTCACTCCCC